CAACCAGCAGCGGCATGAGCGTGCATCCCTTGTGCAAACGCGGGGCGACTCACCATGATACGGACGCCCTCCGCGGGCGCGTGCACCGCCGCAGCCAGCGTCTGCGCCTCGCCGGCGTCCGAATCCGCATCCGCGCCGCCGTCGACGGGCGCGTGGGCGCTGGCGCCAAAGCAGGCCTGCACCAGCCGGAACAGAGCTTCCCGCCGCGCCGCCGCGCCGCCGGTTGCGGCGGCCGAGGCCCCTTCCTGCCCTGATGCTGCCGCGGCGCCGGCCTTGCCTTTCTTCCCGCCCTTTGGCGTCGCTGCTGTCGGTGCTGCCGGCGTGGCGGCTGCGGCGCCCTGCCCCTCCTCCTGCTGCTGCCGCCGCGCGTCGGTCAACGCGGCGTTGACCGCGGCGTCCACCTCCTCGGGGTGCCTCAGATCGAGCGCACGCAGCGCGCCGCGTACGCGCCGCAGCGCGCCGCCCGCGCCCCCCTCATCGTCCTCCTCCTCCTGCTCGCTGCCCTCCTCCCCGTCGCCGGCGCCGCTCTGCACAATCAGCCCCGCGCCGGCATCGAGCAGCTGCGCGGCAGCTTCCCGCGCCTGGCCGGGCTGCAGGTCGACCTCAAGGACAAGGCTCCGCAGCAGCGCCGCCGCGGCGGCCCCCGTCGGCGCCGGCTCGTCCGGCGACGCGGCGGCGGCGGCGAGCGCCGAGAGCAGGAGGCGGAGCAGGGGCGCGAGGCGCGCGCCCTTGGCCTGGAGGGCTGATAACTGGGCGGCCAAGTCGGGTTGCGCCAGCAGGTGCTGCGCGGTGGGTGCCACGGGGGCAACAGGCACACATGGCGATGGGAGCAGCGTTTAGAGCAGGCAATGGGTGGGGGGTGGGAGGATGCGAGGGGGACAGGGGACCGCACGGGATGGAGCCCCACCCGCGCGGCAGGGATGCCGGAGCGAGCAAGGGGGAGAGGCTGGGTTGAAGCCAGCGCGCCGGCCCGCCCCGCCACATGGGGCCACTGATCCCATCATCGAAGTGACATGCGCCAAGGCGTCCGGCCAAATCCTGCCGAGCAATACAAATGCCATGTCAGCAGGTAGCTACGAGGCATGACACCCGCAAACGCCCGCCCCATCCCCACTCACGTTGAGAGCCTTGCGGGGCAGCGCCTCGAGCTGCGGCTGCGTGTTGGCGACGTGCGCGATCAGCATCAATGGTGTCGCGAGGCCGAGCGTGGCCGACGCCCTGGCCACCAGAGGCAGCACGGCTGCGAGCCATCAAGGGAAAGGAGGGCGAGGAGGGGCGCCGCCGCGCGGTCGGCAGGCGGGCAACAAGCTTCGGGGGCCGGCGGGGGGCGGCTGTTGGATGGGGCGGAGCGCAGGCATGAACTCGCAGTCAAGCGAATCGCGCGGTACGAGGCCTCAGGGAATACAAACTTGTAATGCCCACGGGCCCGGCATAGAATGCCAGGAGTCGCGGCTTTCGTTTCTCGTCTCTGGCCACGGACCGACATGGGCAACAAGGCAGCGCCGACTACCCACACAGCGTCAGGCCCGAAAGCCCCCAGCGCACGTGCCACGCGCCGCCCGTCAGCGGCACGCGCAGCGAAGAGGGCCCCGACGGCGGCCGGCGCGCGTGGAAGAGGGGGCGCGCGGGCGGGCGGCGCTCACCGGCGAGCAGCTTGGGGCTGAGTGCGGCGCGGGCGGCCAGGTGGCTGAGCACCATGAGCGATGCGGCGGCAAAGTCGCGGCCCGAGCCGGCCGACAGGCCTGCCAGAACGGGCGGCAGCAGGGCCGAGACCAGGCGCTCGGACACCTACTTGCAGGGGCGAAAGCGCGGCGGCGCAGCTCAGGGGTGGCTGCATGAGGGGGGCCAGTCAGAGGCCTTGAGACTGACAAGAGGGGGACAACGGGGGTCCCGCGGCCGCGAGTAGCAGTTATCTTGTCTTCTCAAGCAGGCGCGTTTCCACATGTCTCGTCGAGCGCAGGCCTTTTGACCCGCAGCGCCGCTGCGCCGCCAACAGGCAGGGCCCGCACCTGCGGGGCGGCCGCGACGAGCTCGCAGGCCGTGACGGCGAAGAACGACAGGTAGGTGCGGCTGGGGTGGGGTCCAGACCCCAGGGCCTCGGCTGTTGCTGTGACAAACTTCAGGACGGCCTGGGTGGAAGGCGGAGGATGCGGGTTGCGATGTGAGGGGTTGGGCGCACGGGGTGGAGCAGCATGGTCGGTGGGGCCGGGAGGCTCGGCACGGGGCGAGCGAGTGGCAGGCGCCTGCGAGCTTGGGGCTGCACTGCGAGTGCGAATGGGACGTGCCCCCATCGCACACGCACAGGACAGTCGCGCACCTCGTCGTTGGCGCATCGCTGCACCAGCGACGGCCGGGGCAGCGGCGCGCCGCTCTCCTGGATAGGTGTGAGCCACTCCCAGATGGTGCCCTTGAGCGCGCACAGTTGGATGAGGCGCGAGAACTCGTTCGTCGAGTGGTAGGGCAGCGCAGCCGCCAGCAGCGCGGGGAGGTTGAGCTCGTGGACCCTGGGAACGGGTGGGATGAGAAGGCGAGCGCACGAGTGTGCATTGAGGTGGGCGCAGGAGGCATGCGCTGTGGGGCAAGGCGGCCACAATGCGGGCGGCGGCTGCCCGAGCGTGAATGGCCGCGAACGGCCGCCACACCTGTATCTGCGGATGCAGAACTCCAAGACCTGGAAGCATGCTGGCGCCAGGAAGTGGTCCGCCAGCAGGTGCAGGAATGGGTTGAGCTTTGCATCCAGGTCTGCGTTCTCCTGCGCCGTCAGCTGGTCGCGCGAGACGCCGACGGCTGCACGGCTGAACAGGGGTTCTGAGAACGGATGGAAGCGCTTGTCTAGGCGGATCAGCTGAGAGACGCCTGCAAAAGGGGAGGATACGCGGTGATGAGTCGCGGCGACGGCACGCAGACCAGATCGCTACACAAGGGCAGCAAGTAACGATGATGAGCAGGAGTTTCCAGCAATGAGCACCCATTGCGCCAGCGCACCTGTCTGTGCGATGGACAGGAGGGTGTCTGCGCCAACGTCGGCTGCCTGCTGATAGTTGAAGAGCAGGGAGGCCTTCCCGCGAACCCACTTCTCTTGCGGGCCCTTCAGACCGGCCAGCTGGGCCAGCTGGGCCGCGAGCACCGACATGGTCGATCTCGCGCGCTGGTGTGACGGCTGCGAGCTGTTCTGCGCCCTTCTAGGGCGTCTGTATACTTTCCATGGCCATCTCAATTTCAATACTGCACGGACAGCGACCGCACGGGCCCTGATGTGGGAGACACCAGCAGCCTTAGTCGCAGCGGCGGCTCAGCTGTGCTCCTTTGATCCTTGCTGTGGGTGCCGAATCTGAATACAAGACGGGCATTTCCAGCCTGATCAAAGCCTGTAATCCGTTCCTGATATTCCTGCTGCTATCTGCATGGTCAACCTCAGGGATCCATGGATCCTGGGAGCAACACGAGGGGCTTGTGGTAGAGCGGTGGACCAGCACCGTGCAATGAGGTTGCACTCACGGCTGTGGGGGGTGGCGTGCTTGCCGATGCAGACAGATCGCAAGATGGGGGGCAACAACCGGCCAGGTGACTTCGTGACTTGTTCTGGAGGAGCAGGTGTTGCCGGAAAATCCTCTCACTGCTGACGTGACACTGAGGCGTTTGTTGTAAGTGGCAGCGACCAGCGTCTCCCAACTAGTAAGTGGAATGTAATTTCCATTCTGTTTGCCTGATCCAAGTCAGCTCATTGAGCTGTTTACAACCTGTTATCGTGGCTTCCGTCCTACGGTCAACATGCGCAGCTGCAATTTACTTGACGCCCCTGCAACGGGTAACTGGAGCCGATGCATGCTGGCTCGGGTGCAGTTGCCTGCAATATTTTGTGCTAGATGCCACCAGTGCATTGTGACTGGTGTTTCAATACAAGAGCATCAGGTTGATGGAACTGCCATCAGAATCACTCACTGAGTACAAAGGCGTGCCGCGCCTTCATGAAATACTCACGGCCCAACCGCCAGTCTGAGGCGTTGAGACAACAAGCCTCGTCACACCCAAGGTTACATTTACTGCAACCTGAGAATCGAGGTGCTGGTCGGCCACCTTCTCTCGCTTGTCGCTGTTGTCAAGGCAGTGAGCAGTATTCAGCTTCCAGATATGACGCACCACGCACGCACCACACACGCTCCAGAAACCCGCCCCGCTTGGCGAGGCCCACGCATATCTGATGTCTTTCCAAACCCCAATTGTGGCGAAGCTTTGCAACTGTCTACAGGCCGCCCATGCCATGGTCGGTCGCAAGGCATTCCAGGGGTGCGTCTCCGGATGCGGTGGGCGACGCCCGTTACATGTACTGTGATGTATGCAGTACAGTACCTGGATTTTGCTGCAGTGCAACGTGATTGGCAATGTATTCTGTCTATGTGTGTCACCTTCTGTCAGGCCTAGGCAGCAGGCAGCATGCAAACAGCAATATTGGGCCCTGGTCAGATCTCTTGTATATGGGCTGCAGCTTTGCAAAACACTCTCCTACTGTACAAGACTGCCATAGTGAATTTGGGCACTCATTGCAACCTCAACACTGTATTGTGCACACCGCTGCATGCCACGTTTGCCCCTGTGGCTCCAGTGGAGGGGAGGCTGCTGCTACAGCTGACTAGCCAAAAAGCCGAGGCCACCTATGTTTTACAGCGGCAAAGAAAAAAGAATGCTCGCCGCGGCAAAGCCGCTGCGGCCCACTGCAGCCAAAACGCCTTGCCCCCCAACCCCCTTTGAAACTGGTGCAAACCGCGCGCGCTGCCAAGTGCGGGCGAGAAAGTGGTGTGTGGTGGGCGGCCTCCGCCCAGCGCATGGGGCCTCAAAGCGCTACGCGCCCGGGTGACGCCCAGCGCATCGGTATTTGTCAGTAGGTGGGCAAATTTAGTGGGCCGGGTAGCTGACTAAACACCACTTGTGCTGCCAAGCATAAGGAAATGAAACTGGAGGGTGGCCGCTGCCACCCCACAAGAGCCAACGGCGAAGGGCAGCTGGTGCGACGCCAGCTGCCTGCCAGGTGCTGCTCTCCGAGCAGCATTGTGGCCTTGGCTGCTAGCCAGCTGCCGCAGCAGCTACGCCTTCAGCTCCCCTCCTCTGGAGCCTGGCCACTGCACTACTGTTCGGAACGTGCAGTGCCTTCACCTGTCTACGGTGGTGGGCTCCTCCAGTCACCACAGGCTAACGTCGTGCTCCTCACTGCATGCATGCGATTCTGGTGATTTATTTCGACCTGTGATCACAGTGTCCTGGTTTGATGGCCATGACCAAAAGCAGCCGGGGCCTGCCGGCGGGGAACACTTGTGTTCCCCAGGGATCAGCTGGAGTGACGCCCGGGTGACACCCCCCTGGCACGCCGCCCACTTTGGGCGGCACGTTCGTTTCTTCCCTCTTCTCGTTTGCACGTGTTGTGCGCTGCTGGCCACAGAGCAGCAGGTGAGCGCGCCACTTCCCTCTCCGCACTTGGCGGCGATCTGCATGCGAGCACTAGGCGCACAGGCGCCATAGGCCCGATTCCTTCCTCTCACCACCTTTGTGCGTCGCGATCGCGCAGGCGCGAGCACAGGTTTTTCACTCGGGCAGCCAGGCGCATTACAGCCCTTGCTGGCCCACATTGCAGGTGTGCGGCTTGCAGTACCCCGCCTGTGTGTTTGTGCATGCATGTAGAGCGCAGGGCAGTCGGTAGCAGCCTGGGCGCGTCTCGTTTGCACGTGTTGTGCGCTGCTGGCCACAGAGCAGCAGGCGCGAGCACAGGTTTTTCACACCCACCCTCCCAGCCCTGGGGGGAGGGCAGGCGCCGCGCGGCGCACCGAGCCGTTGCGTGCGCTGCAGCAGCGTGCAGGTCGGGCGGCGGCCGGCGGGCCTGACTCTTTGGGCACTTGGGCATTCAGTTGCCCCATCCTACCCCCACACACTTTGGTTGTGACCTGGAACCCGCGAGCGCTCAGCTGATCCCTGTGACTTGCTGGCGTTAGTCATGGCTTTGTAATGACGGCCTTGGGGGCTTGAGCGTCTGGTCGTCACCCCATACACGCGGTGCCTGATTCGAAAAGACTATCAGATATTTAAGCTGAGCTTGTCACGGGGGGGTGCGAGCAGCCGTTCGCACCCCCCCGTGATTCGGTGCGGAGATGACTCCGTCAGGGAGTGACAGCTGCGGTGGTGGTGGTGTGGCGTGGGTGACAATGTTCAACAATATCGTCATGATTGTCCCATAGACGTACCAAGTTGCTTTTGCTGTCCAGGATCGGACCACCAACCGAGGCTTCCCAGCACGAACACCGGAGAGCAGCAGCAACCCGTGCAGTGCTTACGCTGGCTCAAACGACACACGGTAAGGAAGATAAAACATCACTATCCAGCCGTGGAAGCGGCACTCGAGGTTAGGGCTGCTGCAGCGCTGAGCTGTGCCGGCGCACGGCGCGTTCAGGATTATGCCGCTTTATCAACGAAGCCCATGCAACTGAGTGCAGCACGTAGGCAGCAAACGTCACCAGCGCATCAACACGCTGTCTCGGATGCGCGATGGCAGCCAGCATCCAGCCGGAAATTTTTGCTGCTGTTGTTCATTAGCACACGGCCAGTCATACCTTTGGCGCACGCACCTCTCAACCGCCCTCCGACACCTGCTTGAATGGGCCAGGCTCCCGCATGCGACCAGGCTCCTGGTGCTTACCCAAGGTACTTGGCGCTACCTTCAAAGCAGGCTGACGGCAAACAAGATGGCCTCTGCCCTCGTGCTGGCTGGGATGGCTGTGGCCTCATCGGCGGGCACGTTTCTGGCTGGGAAGCTGCTCGGCCAGAAAAAGAAGGCAAGAACCGGCATGGGCCTGGCATCCTGTCTTGAAATCTACGAGATCATGCGGGTAGTGCAGTGCCTGCCGGGCGGCCTCCTGCAGGGCCCTCGCAGCCGCCGCCCAAGCACTTGAAGACACTTCGGCTTGTTGCCTTGCCCACCTCACCTCGACACGCAAAACTTCCTCGGGGCCACTTGCTCCACCTGACCCCCCCTTACACGCACGCAACCACGCACACAAGGATGCGTGGTCACAACCAGGCAGGCACGCACGCGCGCGCGCATGCACAAGTGCACGCAACCACGCACGCACGAACCACACATGCCACACACGCAGTTCCCGGAGCATAAGAACGAGCACTGGCTGCCCAATGTGGAGCGCGTGGGCGTCCTGGGGGACCTCATCACGCGCGCCAACCACTACGCCATCACGGTCTCTGACGTGGCCAAGTGAGAGCCGCTTCTGCTCATGGTCCCGACAACCAACTTGACTGCTGCTGCTACTGCTGCTGCTGCTGCTGCTGCTGCTGCTGCTGCCGCTGCTGCTGCCGCTGCTGCTGCTGCTGCTGCCGCCGCCGCTGCTGCTGCTGCTGCTGTTCCTGCTGCTATTGCGGGCGTCGACGGCGGCTGTTTGCGTGCCTGGGCATGGCTTCAGCCGGCAGCACCAGCGCCAGGAGCCGCCCACCTTGGTGCCACCCTGCATTCACTGCTGCGCCGTGGATGAGGGCCCAGTGCTCTGCAGGCGCTGGACAAGACTCGCCTGCATGTTACACACTGCACGTTGCGGCCCCGCCCCACCGCAGCTTCCCGTCTTTCCTTTCACACGATTAAACCCCAACCGTCGCAACCTATCTATCCACAGGCCCTATCTAAGCCTCCAGCACTCGGCCCCACCCCCAATACCAGGTCTCTTGAGTTCTACGTCGACACTTTGGGGCTGCAGCAGATCAGGCGCCCCAACTTTGACCGCCACGGCGCCTGGCTCACGGCCGGCAATATTGAGATCCAGTGGGTGGCGGCGCCTCGTCCCCTCAAGCTTCTCTGCACTCGCACACACCGCCATCAACTTCTCCCCGCCATTGGCTCCTCAAAATTCATAAACCTTACTGGCCTGCGTCTCTGAAGCTTCCAACGTGCATTGATCCTAATGAATTTACAGCGTGGCCGATGTCCTCCCGTTCCACCCCATCCCTCAGCCTGATCAAGGGCCCCCCGGTGGTGGCTGACGGGGACCACCTGATCGTTGGGCACATCTCACTGGAGACTGATGTCAAGAACATCGACGAGGTCCTCCGGAGGCTCAAGGCGGCAGGAGTGCCCTTCCGCAAGAACGTCAGGCGAGAGCGCGGGGACTCTGGACAGCTTGACTTGCGCCGCTGCCTACCCGGCGCCGCAGCGGCTGCGAAGGGGGCACCTGTGCCAGCTGGCAGGCGGATAACCTTTGCAAAGCGCCGCGCTCATGCGGCAGGTTGGTGGGACGCGGCCTGCGGCCATGTGTTCGCTGCCGGTCGCCAAACGTCAAAGTTTATGGACACATCAGCGGTAAACACCCGTGCCTCTCCATTCACACTTTATCTGGCCGCTGCCGCTGATGCTGCTGACCCGTGGCCCTCCTCTCCCCTGCCCCATGCTGCAGCGTGCCCAACCGCTCTGAGGACGGCGTGGTCACCCAGTTCTTCATGCGCGACCCCGATGGCTACTATGTGGAGCTCTGCAACTGCGACATCCTCACAAAGTACTGCCTCGCGTGAGCCACTTGCGCGGCGCGGCGCATCGCGTTGCCGGCACGGCACATCACTGCGGCCAGGCGGCTCCGGGCGGGCTTTTGTGGCGGCGCCAAGATCCGGATCGCGTTGTTTGCACCCGGCGGCGCGCGGCGTGCATGTGCCCTTTCAAGTGACGGGCAAGCACTTGCCTGAGCTTGCCTGCACTTGCTTCGCTGCTCTGCACGCGCGGTCACGCGAAGAGCAACTAAGACAGCCACGCCGTGTGCGCATGCGTGCCCGCGGTTCGCGTTCGGACCCAACAGTCAGGACGACCACCGCCTGATCTCGTACAACGAGTCATCGGTGGACCTGGGCATAGCCGAGATCCTGCGGTTTAACGCGCTGGCTGAGGAGTCGCGCGCCAAGTACCTCGAGCGCGTGCAGGACAAGGTGGGCGCCAGCGGGCGGGCGGCTGCTGGACACAATGTTTGACACAGGCGGGTGTTTGACAAAGGCTTGGGGCTTAGGGGCGTGGCGACGCTGAAAAGCAATGCCCCAAAGGAGCACACCTGAAGGCGACGGCTAGGCCGAGGCTGCTGTAGGCCTGACGCGACGTGCATGACAAGCGGCTGGGCATGCATGTGGACACATGCATCTTTTTGTTTATACTGATGTCAGTATGTGCGTGCACGCGTGCACGCATGTGTCTGAGTGCGATAGTGAGTGTGCATGTGTATGTGCGTGCGCGTTTGCCAATGTGTGCGTGTGCTTGTGTGTGTGTGTCTGTGTGTGTGTGTGTGTGTGTGTGTGTGTGTGTGTGTGTATACTCAAGCGACTCACTCATCAGTGCGGAATATCTCAAATCCTGCCTTCCATTCTCCCCCCCCCCTCCCTGGCATCCCAGCCGGAGGCCCTGGTGCTGCCTGCTGAGCAGCAGGCCAAGTTTGCGGACCCCGTCATCCTGCAGAACATGCTGACCCGCACGCGCATATGGGGCGACATGATGCAGGCAAGAGCCGGGAAGCTGGGAGGTGACAAACGCATGGCAAGGAGATGAGAAGCGTCCTGCTGCAGGCGTTGCATGGCCTGTTGAACGGGGGAGCGTGTTGCGTCACAGCGTGCACCTGTCGGCGACATTTATGCAACGGGTAGCCTGCCGTCCGCCACCAGCACTCCGGCAACCCGCCTATGAGGATGAATTTTGGGCGTGAGTTGCTGGCCCCTCACGATCTCTATCCTGTCCCAGGGCGAGACAAAGGAGACCCTCTCCCGCGCTCTGATTGAGGCCAACAACAGCGCCCCCTTGGCCACGCGCATCCTGCGCGCCCGCAAAGCCGAAGCAGGACAAATATACATCCCGCCAGGTGCGTGGGTGGGGCGCACTGCGAAGAGGGAACGAGGTCATGAATGGTGGAACCCGGCCGCGACAATCCATGTGGCGGCATGAAGCCCCTTGCCCACCAATTGCATGTCAATGGACATGCCGCTCGTTGTTCCATTGTGTTGTCACCCTTGTCAGCTAGGCCCCACTATGTCCAAACCTTGAAGAGCGAGGTCCTGCTCCAGTGTCCTTCCCTGCACATTTCTTTGTCCGCGTTAAAAAAGCATTGCCTGAGCAGGCTGATGCCGCAATCAAGACCACCCACTTGCATGCAGTGTTGCATCCATCATTGCAGTCAGTTCCTCAACTTTCCGTCCCCCCACAAATGCGCGAGCACGCGCGCACACGCGCGTGCGCGGGCACACACACACACACACACACACACACACACACGCGTGCGCGCGCACACACACACACACACACACACACACACACACACACACGCGCGCGCGCACGCGCACAC